AAACAAGAAATTCAGATCGATATGGAGGAATCTTTTAGAGTTCTTGCTAAGCTAAAAGATGCATCCAGGAACTTCAATGAAGCTACTACAGGATGTCCAAGATCATCTTATGAGAATGAAGCTAAACGTGGAAAGAGTTTAATTTCCCGGGATTCTCCGCGACTTTCTTACGACGGTAGAGACCGAAGTCGATTCTCCTTTGAATCAAGAAGCCTCAAGTCCAGTCCTAAACTGAAAGAGCTCCCTAGACTCTCATTGGACAGCAGAACAACTGTCTGTAGGAATGTTCCAAATAGTAGCTGCTCTACTGACAAAGCCCCTGAGCTGCATCAGAAGCGGCTGCCGAGTGTTGTTGCAAAATTGATGGGTATTGAAACGTTGCCAGATTCATCATTGGCTACAGATACCCAATGTGGTGGTGAATCTTTTGCAAAACCATTAGAATCTAGAAATCTGAAAAGCTCACCACGGCAGACAAAAAATCTTGATCTGATTAAGAGACCTATTCCAAATTCAAGGCTCCCTATTGAAACTGCACCTTGGAGGAAGCTAGCTGGAGCTCAAGTTCCTAAAAGCACAGCTTTTAGGCCTGGTCCAGAACCAAGCTCCTCGGCTTACGGTGAGGTCGAGACGAGGCTGAAAGATCTTGAACTTCAACAGTCCAGTAAGGATCTTAGAGCACTTAAAAAGATACTAGAAGCTATTCAATCTCGAGCACTGTCCGAAATTGGGATGGAAGAACAAGGTTCAGTATTTGGAATTCAAAGGAACCAAGAACCAAGTTCTTCTAGTTCTAATCAAAAGACTAGATTGATGAGCCAACGAAACAGACGGAGCAATGTAGCTGAATCTCCCATTATCATCATGAGACCTGCTAAACCTGTTGATAAGTCAGTTATATCAACCTCAACGATTCCAATGGATCGCTTTCCCGTGCTCCATAAGCTCCGAAACGAAGGATTTCAGGATAGTAAAAAAGGATCTAGCAATAGCCAAACCAGAGCACGCTTTCTTAAGAACACTCAAAAGGACCTTCCTGTCGTTACCTCTGAGAAGAAGCCGATTTCTAGACATATAAGATCACCTCAAACTTCTTCAAAACCGCAAGTAGTACTTAAAGAAAGCACCTCGACCACGAGCTCGATAAAAAGTTCAGATTCTGTTAGTCCAAGACTGAGACTGAGGAAGGTCGAGGTGGAGAAACGATCCCATCCACCTAAATCCAACGCAAACAAACCGAAAAGGAAAATGAAGGAGACAAAGTCTTCCAATATAAGACAATGTGATGAACAATCAAGTGAGATGAGCAATGAATCAAGATCTCTAAGTTGCCAAAGCGATGACATGACTTCAAAGATGGATATTGAGGTCCATAGCAGCATACAATCAACCAAGATCGACGTCGACCAGAGGCAAGCGATGGAGGCTGCTGAACTATTGACAACCAGCTCGGTTAAAAAGGTTTTCTTCTTTTGTTTATGTTCTTTTCATTCATCTCTTAGTTGCATACCACTTACTAATGTTTTTGCTTGCTCAGTTATCAATGATGGCAATCGGTGAAGACGGGTCGACAATAGAACAAGATGCACTAGCAGTAGAGCATCCCAGCCCTGTCTCTGTCCTTGATGACTCATTATATAGAGATGATGAACCATCTCCTGTAAAAAAAATCACAACCATCCTTGATGCCTCTCTGAAAGGTAAAGATTCAATACTTTTTGTTCATCCAAATATCAGAAATCATGGCAGCTGATCTTTACTTTATAACTTGGTATCTCTTAGGTGATGATTGTCTAGATTCTAATGAGAGGCATAGCGAAGATCAATGCAATCTTTCAGACGACATCTTTGTTAATCGTTCGGTTTTAAATCGTAATGTGGAGATTAACAATATGAAATTTGAAAATATTGATGATCTGATTCAAAAGATTAGACACTTGAACTCGCATCACGATGAAGCGGAAAAAGACTATATTGCATTGTTGTGTGAGAATACCAACCCGGATCACCGATACATTTCCGAGATACTGTTAGCTTCCGGCCTTCTACTCCAAGATCTTGGCTCGGACCTGACCACGTTTCAGCTTCATCCTTCTGGTAATCCAATCAACCCGGAGTTATTTTACGTTTTGGAGAAAACGAAGGCCGGTAGTTCGCCTGCTATATCTTCCTATTCCAACAGGGAGTGCAAGCTCATATTTGATGCTGTAAATGAGATACTTGTTGAGAATTTAGCTGTCATTGATGGTGGTGTTCCTGAGCCATGGTTGAAACCAACAAAGACTGCAAAAGAAGCTCTAACTGGACAAATGATTTTGAAGCAATTGTGTAATGAAATAGAACAGTTACAATCCAAGAAGTTCGAATGCAACTTGGACGAAGAGAAGAAAGACTCGAAAAGCATTCTGCAAGACGATGTGATGCGCCAGCCGAAGCGTTGGACAGATTTTCGTGGTGATATCTATGACGTCGTGTTGGATGTCGAGCGCTTGATATTCAAAGACTTGGTTAATGAGATTGTTATTCAGTGAGTAGAACTTTGGAAGATAAAGCTATAAGGTATGCATTAGATAGTTTGCTTGCATTCCCTCTGGTTTTTCCTTCATATATTTGCTTTCATAAGAGTGACCACATAAACTGCTGCTATTTTTTGGTGTCAAGCTCAATAATTTGTGCTTATTAGCAGTTCTGAGCTGGTTGGTAGTTGTGCAATACTTAACTACAAGAATCAAAATCAATGAAAATATTTTGTTCCTACATTCTTCTCGTTGTAGCTCTATGAAACTTTAGCCCGAAACTCGAACATTCCTCGGCATATTTAGTAAGAAAAAAGTAGAGGAGAAACGAGATTGTGTTTTACGTGTAATGGGAGATTTAAAACTCGAACATTCCTCGTACTACTTTGTTATATCTTGTTTTACGTGTAATAGGAGATTCAAATCTATGTCATCTTGGTACAGTGTATATGACTTGATCAGTTTAACTAGATTAGGGTCCTACTGTGTTTTTAGTGCTTGTACAAATAAAGTTATGCAACTAGAAGATATTGTTCGCTTTGGTCTGTTATATATAGTCATCAGTCTCACGATTTTAAAAAAACGTTTATTAGGGAGAGGTTTCCACACCCTTTGTGGGATCTCACAATCCACTCGCTTGGAGGCCAGTGTCCTCGCTAGCACACCGTTCATTGTCGAGCTCTGATATCATTTGTAACAGCCCAAGCCCATTGCTATCAGATATTTTCCACTTTGGCCAACTACATATCGTCGTCAGTCTCATGATTTTAAAACAAGTCTGTTAGAAGGAGGTTTCCACACCCTTTGTGGGATCTCACAATCCACCTCTTGGGGGGCCAGTGTCCTAGATGGCACACCGAGCCTTATAAGGAATGTTTCAACCGATGTGGAATCTCACAATCCACTCCCTTGGAGGTTCAGTGTTCTCACTAGCACACCATTTAGTAAATAGCTCTGATATCATTTGTAACAGCCCAAGTCCATTGCTAGCAAATATTGTCCACTTTTGCCTACTACATATCGCCGTCAGTCTCACAATTTTAAAATAAATCTGTTAGGAGGAGGTTTTACACCCCGAAACCCCGACAAAGAATAATGCTTCGTTTTCTTATCCAATAAAACAAATCTGTTAGGAGGAGGTTTCCTCTCACAATTTTAAAATAAATCTGTTAGGAGGAGATTTTACACCCCGACAAAGAATAATGCTTCGTTCTCTTATCCAATAAAACAAATTTGTTAGGAGGAGGTTTCCACACCCTGACAAAGAATAATGCTTCGTTCTCTCATCCAACCGACGTGGCATAGATTACAAAAAATGTAATAAAAAGGCAACAAACACACATAAACCATCTTTCTTTTAGGGCATACAAAATTTTACCCACCTCTCTTTTTCTTTCTAGAAAGAGGACCACAAATTAAAGGATTTTTCTTCTTCTTTTTTTCTTTTTAAAGAAAAGAAAAATAATGAAGGGACAGTGACAGTGTCGAGTGGGATGATCTTGTCCCAATGCAGAACACAACAACTGGGTTTTTAGGATCAATATGTTTTCCCACTGTTTTGTTGGATGATCTTGTCACCAATGCTTCTGCTTCAGAGACACACCCATCTCTCCAATCTCTCTCCTCTTTCATTCTCTCTCTAAAATTACCCCCTTTTTTTACCATTTTTCTTGTCTACCTTCAGAATGTTCTTCCTTTGCCTTTATTCTTACAAGTTATCCAAATAGAACATGACTAATGCCAAAGAAACATCAGCTGAAAACTACTTTTTTTTATGTTTTCAAAGTGTTCCAGTGTTCAAAGGTTTGTTCTTTTTCTGGTCCTTTGTCTCCTTATCTGTTCGGTCTCTACAAGGTTTTGTCAGTTGTTCACATTTTGAACGAGAGTAATCAAGCACCCTTCTTTTCTGGTTGCTCAATTATAAGAACTCCAAATTTAAGCATATTTAGAACAATCTTATATCAGCTCATATTCATTGTTAGTAGATATTATTCGTTTTAGTCTATTACGTATCGCCATCAGTCTCACGGTTTAAAAATGCGTCTACTAAGGAGACGTTCCCATACCCTTAAAAGAAATGTTTCGTTCCCCTTTCCAACCGTTGCGGGATCTCACAAATCTAATGTTGGAAGATCACCCGTAAATTTTTTGTAGGAAGCATATGAGTTAAAACAAACCATCCTAAAAGGATCTGTGTTGATTTATGAAGATCGTTTTTACTCTTAGAAGTCGTTCAATAACACAGTCATGTAGTAGAAAATGCAAAAGAATCTCGAGATCATTAATGGTTGAATTAAAAATAGATTTTCAAACAATTTATATATCAGACAACAGTGTCTCATTATATATAGATTTTCAATGAACAAGCCATGATACCCATTATTATATCTACTCCAACATTTATATATCAAAAGCTATCAAATTAACTGCAAAGAGTATAGCTATGAATATGTGTACTTACAAACCTTTCCAAAACAACAACACTTTTCTAATCACGCCCTTCAAGAGAGTTTGCTCCGTCTCTATCGGCCACGGCCACTCTATGAGCTACCAGACGCCGCCCCGTCTTTACCGGAGCCGCCGCCGTCGTTGTTGCCAGCATGAAGAAGCTGCTTGAGATTGAAGTTTGGAGGAAAGGGTTTCAAGTTTTGTGAGGCAAAAGGGTGGAGAGATGATGGTATGAAGGGATTGGACAAAGTATGAGAATTTGAGCTCAAGAAATGGATGTGGCTTTCAAATGGGTTTGTGATGTATGAAGCATATGGAGTGAAAACAAGTGAAGAACATGAAGATGAACTTGTTTGAGCCTCAATTTGTGATGGAAAAACCCCACAAGAATGTTGATGATCATGATCACAAGTGTTGTAATTGTAAGCATTACAATTGTTCATCATAATTTGCTCATTATAATCTTCAACTTCTTGATCATTACCTCCATCAATCCACTTCCCTTTCGACTTCGATTTCTCGATCATCGTCGTTTGATTCACAACGTCTCTGATATGCATCATCGAAGGATCCTTCATGTCGAAGGCAAACGGAGGAGGAGTAGGAAGAGGAAGAGGGAGAGTACTAGAATTATGATGATATTGAGGGAAGAGCATATGTTGGTGAAACGGAGACAACCCGGTCGGGATCTGGAGCGGCGGAAGCTTGTCGATATCAAGTTTCGTGACGTCGAGTAGCCAATCTATGACCTTGCTAGGCTGCCCAAGTTTAAGCTTGTCTTGAAGATCATAGAGTTGAATTGCTGTTGGAACTGAAAGCCTTATCCTTCTATCTCTCAAACCCCTAATAGTACACACTTTGCTATGCCTATCTTTGCCTCCAAATGAACGAGAAACCCTCACAATTCTTGGATTTCTAAACCCTGACCACTGCCTTGACCTCGTTGAACCCTTAGCCATATCATATTTTTCATCACTGATTCCTTCTTCTTTGCCTCCAAAACCCTTTTCTTTTGAGCTTCTCAACATCTTTTTACGAGCTCACGAGCTCATCATCATCAGATCCATTCAAAACCTTCGAGAAACAAGAACAAGAACAAGAACAAGAACGAATTATTGCAAGAAACGGCCGAGTTTTAGAGCCGAAAACTCCATTTTTTGCAAGGAATCAAAACTTTTTAACTCAAGAATGACATTATAATGGGTAAAGAAAAGAAGATGCCAAGAATTTATGTAACCCCAGATAGAAAAAGGAAAAGGTAAGGTGTGTTCTTGACCACTTGGCGTTGCGTTATTCGTCCACGTGGCACTCGTTTGAACTAAGATGATGTCAGCAGGGCTGCTAATTAATCCACCTCTATGTTTTACAACTTGATTCATTAATTATGTTCATTAGGGTATAAATGTTAATACATAAGATTTTTGATGTGGAGATATCCAAACCAAGGAAGAAAGTGAAAGGCTAAACGCCTTTTCAGCATTTACAAACAGCTTTATTGGTTTGCTTACTACACATCATGAGCTGTTGAACAATGCATGCCCTAGCTACGCTACATGTATTACAAAGAAAAGACACTAACAAAAACCCTAATTTATTGTTCTTAACTTTTAGTATGCAAAAATCTTCTTTTGTTTTGTAATTATTTCTCTCAAGATTTGGTTTTGTGTTCTTATTTAATATGGGGTTGGTTTCGAATTCTCTTTTCAATTCTATATAGGGGTTGTTAACTCGCTAAGTTAGATCTTATTTGATAACAATCGTCTTTTTTGGACTTGAAACACGTCTGTTTGGGAGAGATTTTCACACCCTCCCTTCTCCAACTGGTGTGGGATCAGGGATGCCCAGAATCCTCGCTAGCACACCGCCCGATATCTGACTCTGATACCATTTGTAATACCCAAAGCCCACTGTGTGGATATTGTCCTCTTTGGACTTTAAACGTGCTGTTAGGGAGAGATTTTTACACCCTTATGAGTAATGTTTCGTTCCCCTCTCTAACTGATGTGGGAACGGGGGTGCCCAGAATCCTCACTGGCACACCGCCCGATATCTGGGTTTGATACCATTTGTAACAGCCCAAGCCCACTGTGTGGATATTGTCCTCTGTGGACTTTAAATGCGTCTGTTAGGGAGAGATTTTTACACCCTTATGAGTAATGTTTCGTTCCCTACTCCAACTGATGTGGGATCGGAGGTGCCCAGAATCCTCGCTAGCACACCGTCCGATATCTGTCTTTGATACCATTTGTAACAGCCCAAGCCCACTGTGTGGATATTGTCCTCTTTGGACTTTCCCTCGAGGTTTTGAAACGTGCCTACTAGGGAGAAGTTTCCATACTCTTTTAAGCAATGTTTCATTCCCCTCTCCAACCGATGTGGGATCGGGATTGCCCAGAATTCTCGCTGGCACACCACCCGATATCTGGCTTTGATACGATTTGTAACAGCCCAAACCCACCGTGTGAATATTGTACTCTTCAAACTTTCCCTCGAGGTTTTGAAACGTGTCTGCTAGGGAAAGGTTTCCATACCCTTATGAGCAATGTTTCATTCCCCTCTCCAACCAACATCGGATTTCACACAATGATACTTTCAAATCCTCAACCAAATTTTAAAATTACCTATTCAGCTCGATAGTACTAAAAAAACCAATTTGAGCTTAACCCAGTTGGTCAATACATCATATACTCAATCTAAACGTCAGATATTCAAATTTTCACTCTCGTTAAAAGAATTTAGGTAATTAAAAGAAAATCGTTACCTAACGGCCCACTGAGACTATCGATAGGGTTTCGGGATCACATAAAACTACTTACTTTAAGCAATAATACAAAATCCAACTAAAAGTTGGTGCATAATTAGGATTTGGGGGAAAAGGGAAGAACTCATATAGAGTCAAGAAATTAGGGTTTGTGGTGTGTAAGGCATTTAGAAAGTTGGGTTATTAGAAGATGAAAGCTATAGCAACTCTCCAACTTAGTAGATGAGGGACCAATATAGGTTCTTTTAATTTAAAGGCATCCAACTCAATGCCAATAAGGACCACAGGCATGCACTAGAGAGACATAGTGGCAGTAAGATAGTTGAATTTTGTATTTATTATCAACTTTCAATTTTTATTTCATATCTTCAATTTTACGTCACTATTACAATACGCATATTCAAACCGACATGTGACCTTTTACCAGAGGTAGAGTCGGGTTATGTTATAACCACTAAATTGTACTCATATTGACGTTTTTTTAGCTCGGCAACCCGTGGAGGTTGAGCATACCGTGCCTGAAATTGGCTTATCAATGCCTCTCAGTTATATCAATGATAGTAACATTTAATATTAACGAAATGGACAAATTTTGAAAGTTGTTCGTAGACTTAACGATCATGTACAACTCATTAGTCGTTGTTATAAACTATTAGACGTTGGAAGGTGACATATTTTTCTTGTCAAGTACAAATTTTTCATTAATGTCTAAAAAGAGAGCCTATTTCGTTCCACATTTGATTCGATGAACTGTGTTTAGCTTCCTTACTTAAGAAACGATTCTACTGCAATAAATGGCAGATAACTATTTCGAAGCTTCAGTACTTCGTAAAATTACATTTGTTAAGAACTTGTAAGTTCGATTTGACAATCAAATGCTCCGAAACATGTTTTAGATTAATACGTTAAACCAAACTAGAATTTATCGATTAAGTCGATATAACAACGAGTTTGGCCAACAAACCCCAAAAGCTTAGCCCACCATGATTATGGAGCTAAAAAAAAAGGAAAAGAATATAACACATCTTATCATCTCTGTAAAAGTTCATAAAAAAACATTGCAAAATGGGGAGCCATGAAAGAAAGAGAAAACCTTAAACCCTGCAAATTAACATCTTTCCTATGGCTTTTTAGAGAGAGAAATTTAAGAGAGAGAGAGAGAGAGAGAGAGGTGACTTTTCTTTTGAGTATTATTAATAGTTACTGTAGCTGCTGCACTGCAACAATTGGAAGAGACAGTCAAAAAAGCTGACCCCAACTTTATATCTCCATCTTCACTGCACTGTAAAAATGAATTTTTTAATTTAATTTATTGGAAAAAAAAATAGTTTATTTATCAATTTATTATTATTATTATTTCAAAAATAATAATAAATTTTAAAAATATATTAAAATTAAACCTATAAATACCCATTATTTCTTTTTTTCTCCCCCAATTTATAAATAAAAATTGAAAGTTTATTAAATATAATTAGGAAATTAAGAAGAATGGTCCTTTGTGGGTAAATACTGAGCTGACAGGGCAGTCTTAATTGGTAGGGTTTTGAAAATGGTAAGAAAAAGGTTGAAACTTTGAAAACCCCATATGATTAGTTTTATTGGGTTTAGGGTTCTAAATTGGTACAGTTTAAGACTCTGAGTTTGATGGAACAAAGTGATAAAGATGATTGTTCTTTCTGTATTGCTTCTTCTTCTTCACACCCTTTTTTTAAGGCTTCTCTGCTTTTTTTACTGCCCAAAAAACACTTCTTTTGTGTTTCACCGATGGATATCGACATTAAATTCCTCGTTTCAAGATATAACCCTAAAAATAATTATAGTTTCGTTCCATAATTCATGTTTGATGGATCTTTTGAGCCCGTTGTTTGACGGATATTATGAGCATTTGCGTTTATTTATGACATGAAACGACTCGAGCTATGGGTCTAGTTTAGTAGTTGCACACAAGTATTTTTAGTGGGTTTCTAATAACTTCTAAAAAAACTCGAGCCATGAGTCTAGTTTGGTAGTTGCCCACCAGTATTTTTAGTGGGTCAATTGACTTGTTATATAACACCGTCTGAGGTTTTCACATCTTTGTACGAATGTTTCGTTTCCCACTTCAACCGATATATGATCTCACACAAATCAATTTTTTTTTAAATACCTTTGAAAAAATTAATAGTTTAAAGAGGGTTTAGTATACTTTTTCTAAATAATAATTTTGTAATTTATCATATAAAATATCATAGGATAAAATAATATACATTCTTTTTTTTTTAATATAAAACTATAGAATTGGGTTTTTATTTTATTTTAGGGATGGGATTCTTGATTGGATAAACGATTCCTAGATGATTGGCGGCAGAAAAAAAGATAGATGTCAGAAATCTCTGGAATGGCATTTAAAGTGAATTATCAATTATTGATACACTCCAAAATCCAAACAATATTTTATTCATTTATGACAATAATTAACCATTAAAGAACTGACCATCTCAAAATAATATAATAAATATAAATAAAATGTTAAATTTTAGTAGAAGTTATTTGCTTCGGTTTCTTCTGGACAGATCAGAGTCCCAATGGCATGGCAGTGGAATGACTTCCATGGAAGAGATTAGGTTAGCCTCATCAATCTTCTTTTCTATTCTATGTACTTGGGTCGGAAGATATCTGTCTAAATAATTTATTTTTTTCTCGTAGATTGTTCGATCAATCTTCTTTTTCTACTATAGTACTTTGTTTGGAAGATGTCCATCTAAATGATTTGTTTTCTCTCGTAGATTGTTCAATCAATCTTCTTGATTAGAACATTGGCCATGGTTGTGACTAGTAAGAATGATAAAACTCCAAAGAGAAGCCTACACCAAATGAGATATAAAAAGAAATTGAGCTCGAAAATAAATGAATTTGTAGTTCATGAATTATTTTTGAGAAGGTAAATTGTAAGGTTCGAGAATGGAACTAACCGTACTTTACAATTTTGTAACTCCTAAAAATGGGATAGAACTGAACTCCAATATAAATGGGATGCTTCCTAAGTAAGATGATCCTAGAGGCAAACTCTTGGGCTCTTTATGTGGTCTCACTTAACTTTACCACATCTGAAATGTGCGAAACTTCTATATCGGGCTACCATGACCCTCATTGATCCAATTCTAGTCAAGTTGGCCCATTACCTTTTTCATCAGCTCAACAACCACCAAGCCCATCCAAGATGATTTCACTTGGGAGAAAAGAATGGTAAAAGAGAAAAACAAAGAAGGTAAAGAATGATGTGTCAAAGGAGATGATCCATAGACGAGACTGAATACCAAAAATCATAACAAGTACAAATAAGATGGAATCTGAAGTAAAGGATAAACAGAGCATTGTCAGCCACACATAAAAAGTCTGATGAAAACAATGAAAAGGGGTTCTTACATCAATGCTATGGAAGCGATGGAGGTGGGAGCGGCTGGACGTCAACTTTCAAGGAATGTAGCATTTGGCATCAACCCACGTCTTTGAATCCTCATAACCAAGCAAACTTCTTTCATTCTCTCAAATGATTGAACTGAAGATGAGCCATCAAAATAAATCATGTCAAGATCAGATGTAACGTTTGCATCCAAGTCAATCATAGAGTTCACACTTAACTTTTTGTATGATTGGAGGTCACAGCTATCGATATCGGTAAACCGAAACTTGATGCCATTGGGTTATTTCTGCAGTCTTTTCCCCTTCTCCTTTATTCTTTGCAAAAAACCAACATCTGTTTCAGTTAGGATACAGCAATTATTACTATTTTAGCACAAATTTAGAGATGGAAAACAAGACGTAAGTGAGAGACTAACAAATACAAAATAGGCAAGCATAGACAGGCGTGGTAAATAAGGAAGTTTTACAGGCTATGAATTCAATAAATCATCCTCGCCTACTTAAACTATTACATAAACTAATGTGGGCAGGATTATCAACATTATAAACAAGTGGACATGTCATCCATGTTTCCTCGTCATTTGTTATATTCGGATTTTAGGCCAACACGGCGTTAACAAAGGGTATCGAAAATGTAAAGTGTGATAATTATCCTCTAATGAAATCAAGCACCATAACCCCTACACTTTTTTTTGGTAAGAAACCGTACTTTCATTGAGAAAATGAAAGAATATACAAGGCCATACAAAAAACAAGCCCGAACAAAAACGATCCACACTCTAACTATGTAGAAGTACTTCAATCCAAAAGAACAAAAGCAAGATTATAATTACAAAACGACCTAGCGACAGCTTACACCTCAATTATATATAACAATTCGACCTCAAGTGCAGCGAAACGAAAGACAGGGCAACAGAACAATAAGTGCAGAGGGGTGCTTATCTACTACTCTACGTACCTAATAACAAGTCATATGGTACATAATTGAGAAAATAAACATTTATTTACTAAAAGAAATAGAAGCACACTACGTCAATAACATTGCTAGGCCGACCTGGATAGTATCAAAATTGTATCAATATCTGTAACAACTGTTGACAGAATGGTGTGAAATCTAATTAAATGTTTTGGGTTGGTCTCACATAGTTGTTTATAGAACTCTACCAGGTGAACTCATAAAAAATCCAACTTCTGCATAGAAACGGCAGAACAAACAAGTTCATTGTCTAGAAAGATATATGGTACAAGCCCTCCAATCTGAAAAGTAATAGAAATTTAGAATTAAAAGTTGGTTTAAAAAACACCATAAACATACGCGATGATGGGCTATGGAGAATGAAAGTTAAAAAATATTTGTCTTTGCACTACCAAAATGTGCAACTCTCTCGTCTTGCACATTTTTCCATTCTCAGGAATGTGAATGGATTGGGTTGACTTATTCCTCAACTGCGCTCTCAGGTTTAATCCTTGTCAGTTCACAATAAACTGACAGCTAGGAGAACTTCATGGTCAAGGAACATGATAACCACGGTTCTAATGCAAGGTGATAATCAATGAAACAAAATTTAAAACAAGATTACCTGTGAAGCATAGGGAAGCAATATTGAGAATGAAATTTTGTCGTAGAAAAAGTGAAGCTCACAATTAAATGATAAAGCCGATTAATTCAATCACCCATGAGCCCCAGCTTCAGAGCTATAAGTGTACGAGCTCAAAACAAGGACATATTTATTCAATGGAACAGAACTAAAGTGATTAATCACGGGCTCAGAAAGAATTTAAACACCATGAAAAATGCAAACACGATCCAAATTATACCGGCTTGAAGTCATATCGAGGCTGAAGATTGAGTACCCTCATAAAATCTAGGATTGATATCTCATAAATAGAGTCAATTCGTACCAGCTAAATTTGATGAAATACAAGAACCATTAGCATGAAACGAATTGGCAAACCACCAAGGCACGAACCAAATAAGATAGTTGGTTCAAATTGAAGTTCAAATCATTGAAATGAAACCAACTCTTGCATTCAAGCTTGACCTTTCCAACATCATAAAGTGATTTATGCTGTGATAAAGCCACTAAATGTTTATTCCCATGTTCAGTCAAGCAGACATTCTGTATCTAGAACTCATAAAAGTAATTGTTCTTGGCCAAAAGAGCTTGGTAACCTAACCCTTTGCCAGTGGCTAAATCTCCATTACATTTTCAGAAGGTTAAGATACATGACAGTAAGTTTAAAAGAAGCAAAAGAAAGAACAATTCCTACCAGCCAACACGACAAATACAAAATCCAGAAACAAACAATCACGGAGCACCAAAATAATCTAAATACGTGAAAAAAGCTATACAAATCTTAGATAACTACCATAAATTCCGACTGGTTTTGAGAAGATTGTATCGGTAGATCCCAGAACATAATTCAAGCACAAACAGACAAAAAAACGTAAAAAGATGTTGAATCAATTCAATTCCTGCCACTTTACAGTACGAAGACAAAACACCCAAAAGCATACAACGAGAAACGCTATTTGTTTAGGACAACAATAAAAAGAACTACGTCCAATGCTTCCAATACCCTCCTCCACGGGGACAATGGGCATGAGCTCTGCGGTGCTGTATAAGGGGAAAGTGAAAGGCGCCCTGATTTTGGGCAAGCTCCCCTGATCTTCCATGGCTTCTTCATCGATGAGCAGCCCTTCGGGGAAGGGATGAGGCAGTGGAGACTAGAATAGAAATGTCTTTCCGTCCGCGCGTATTTCAATTTACGTATGCGCGAATTTGTGGGGACGACGGCTAATAATTATGAGGGATTAAGAATTTCTTAACATTCTTTTATTAAAAAAATTTTAAATATATATTTCTTTTAATAAATTTTGTAATAGATAAATTCTATATTCAAGATCATTTCTATAATAATAATATAAAAAAAATTATAATGAATATAATAATATTTCGAGTTGTATTGGGTTAATTTTATAAACTGGAATACAATTGATTCAAGTTTTTACGAAATAAAATCTTATAAAATATTTTAAGATGTCTGGTATATTCATTAATATGCTCCTAATTTGGTGTTACTCGTAGCAATTGTATAAACTTCTTTATATTATTTATTATTTTATTTAGTCTAATTTTACTATTATTTACATAAATAATTTGACACGTATCTTTAACCATATAAGAACCCGTGCCAAATTACAATATAACCTTCCCTTCAATCATTAAAAGAATAAGAAAAAAATTATTACGAATACTTATACATTTAATAATATAAGATATATATTTGTGTATGAATTTTTTTATCGTTTTTCGCGTCATATAGATATATATATAATAAATATTTACAAATAGAAACTAGGCACATTCTATTGTAAAAAAAAAAATACTCTTGAACTTCCGAAAGTCTAAATAATACCTTTAAATATTAAAAAAAAATTAATATATATTTACAGTTGGTAGTTGATATTTTGTTTAAAAAATGACCTTAAAGGTTTAATAATGTTTTATAAACCTTTAAATCAAAAATACTTTTACCATAAGCACCGTATTTAAAAAAATATTCATAAAATTTTAAAAATACGATTAACACTCCTTACATTTATAAAAATAACGTGTTTACCAAAATTATATCTTAATATATAGATGAAAATAGTCTATTGACATCTCATAATTTCATCCAAACTTTTTAACGTTATTTTTTAATTTAAAATTCATAAATCAGCAGTTAAAACACTACTTATTATTAAACAACCACATTTTATTTAATTAGAAATAGATAAAAATAATAATAAATAATGGTTAATTGGTTAGATATTGCAATGAAAAAATAGTCCATTATTATTATGCAATTTATTAATCTTTTTTATCAATATAAGATTCAATAACTCTATTTTTCATATTTTTTTATTAATTTTTAGATATTTCAATTTCTATTTCCACCATGTTTTCATTTAATTTTACGTGGATGGGATGAATTTTATTTTAATTGATAATTAACTATATTAAGTTAACTACGAGATATTAATTTATATTAAAATAAATAAATAAATACATAAAAGTGTCGACATTTCGAGTCTTTTGTTCAGACAAATCGATATTAATTTGTGTTAAAATTATTATAAAAAAAAAAGAAAAAAAAGAACACATATAACTATTTTTGAAATCTTTCAAACTATGTCGAAGAGGGGTTTATATTTCATTTAACCCTTTATTTGATCACAAAAACCCTAATGCTATAAAGCCTCAGAATCTTTACTCTCGAGTTTGGTATTCTATTCTCTCCTTGTGTTCTAGGCGCTCAGATCTCTATCGGAACCTCTATTCTCTGCCCTTGCAGGTGCTTCTTTTCTTCTCCCTCTTCTTCTTCGATGTTATTGTTTTCAGGACCTCAGTTGTTTTGTTCACTTGATCTGCGCGGAATGTTTGTTGAATCATCCATCGATGATTACTTATTTCGGGTTAATCCTGTTCCTCTCTTCAGGCGGTTGATCTGTATTAGGGTTTTGTGGGGTTTCATTTTGTTACTTTTTTTTTGCTCCATTTAGGGCTCAGCGCATTCGTTCGCCATTTGCTACCCATTACTGTTCGGCGACGATTGGCCTCTATCCTCTTCGATTGTCAGTTTTCTAGTCGTGCATAAATGTTTCTCAACTCTCACCTGTATTGACGTGATAGTATACTGCGTGGTTTATTGCAAATATTGTGTAAAACCTGACTGTTGTTTTGCATATATGTTCTTAAACAATCTATGATATTATGTGCATGTTTGTGAGATGAAGTAGAGGTTGGGAGCCGTAAGAAGATCGTATTACTGATTTTTATAAAATTTTATTCGTGGTTTTACTAAAGTCTTCAGTTCATTTAATATATAAACCCTAAAGAAATGTTGCTTTAAGTAATACCTAAATGTCGCCGGCTAGGCACTCCTATATATTGCTTCTTTTTTTAAAAAAAAAAAAAAAAATACTATGTAATATATAGTTCAATTGTTTCTCTTAGATTTCAGTCACATGTCTATTCAACCTACAATTTAAGGTGTAGGTGAATTTTCTGGTACTAGTTATATTGCATTGAGCTATGCTTATGGTATGCTCTAAATGATCTTGTAGATGGCGGCAACACAGGAAGCCAGTTCTTCCCCTGCTCCCAGTGCCCAAGTGGTTGGGAATGCGTTTGTTGGGCAGTACTACCACATCCTTCATCATTCTCCACAATCGGTGCATCGGTTTTATCAGGATTCAAGTTTGCTAAGCCGTCCAGATGTCAATGGAGTGATGACAACAGTGACAGGCATGCAGGTAAGCTTTTATGATGTATACATGATATTTATACCCGATACGGCTTGAATAGTTATCTTACCTTTATTTATTTAGTTTTTGAAGTCAGGGATATGTATGAAATTAGTACCAATCCTTGTGGTCATGCATTTGGAATTTTTTGCGTGAATCATTTGTACTATAATCGTGTTTGGAGCATATGGTTGTGAAATTATTTATGGATGGAATATGGATTATGTAAATGCATACATGAAATCACGGTGAGAGATAAAGTAGGCCAACAATGTAATGAAAAAGTATGTATTTTATTTCTGAGGACTCGGTATCCACTTGAAAGTTATTCTAGTCAATATCATCTCCTCTAGTATGCATTCCCTACTTTGAAGATAAACAGACATTCACATGTAAGATACAAATTATATTAGTTTTACAACCAATCTGATCTATCTATAGCAATCAGGTAATTACTGCGACATAATTCCAGAATGGCTACAATACCTGTTAATCACATCCTATTAATTTGAAGATTTAGACAATTTGTCCAATAGCAATTGTGGTTGATTTCCAAATTGTTTATGGTTGCAGTGTAATGGTTTTTGAGTTTCAGTCTCTCTTCATTATTACTTGATGTTGAACCATGTATCTTCTCTAGCTTATTGTAAAGAGCTGAATTTTTCCTATTGGTCTAAATTGGTCTTACTTCAATGATGTAATAAATCAATGAGCATTGTATGGTTAGCAATTGAAGTTCAATTTGTATTGTGACAGGCAATAAATGACAAGATCATATCCTTGAATTATGGAGACTATACAGCAGAAATAATAACTGCTGATGCTCAGGAGTCTCATGAGAAAGGAGTGATTGTTTTGGTAACAGGATGCCTAACTGGGAAGGACAACTTGAGGAGAAAATTTTCCCAAACATTTTTTCTTGCTCCTCAGGACAAAGGCTACTATGTCTTAAATGATGTGTTAAGACATGTTGAAGAGACTGAATCCAATCGAAGTAACTCTTCTTCTGGCGATGCCATCAAAGAGAATACTACAACGGTTACTTCAACACCAGAACCAGGTATATTCACTTTTCCAGATGATATTTACTTTGATGTGCCTTATTGTGGAATTGTGAGATAGCTTTCTGCCCCATTTTCAGAACCATCTCATGCTCCTAATCATCTTACTGTGGAACCTCCAATTTCATTGGAAGAGGAAGACATGAACAATGATCCTGAAGTTTGTGACCCTTCCAGTAATGATGAAGGATCAGTCGTTGAACAGGAGGAGGTTCCTGAGCCCCCACAACAAATTGAGCATGAAGTAGTTGTGACAGCTGATGCAGCCCCTGTTGCCCAAGAAGATGCTCCAAAGAAGTCGTATGCATCAATTGTGAGTTTTTTTTTTTTTTTTTTTTTTCTGCATGTTTGATATTTTGGTGCCAATCTTGTTTCAGACATTTACTCAGATGGCTTGCTGTTTCACAGGTTAAGGTGCCAAAATCAATATCTGGTCCTGTTTATGTTGCAACTACTCCTGTAAGAGCCGCACCTCCTGCAAATCCTGATCATCAGTCTATTGGCCTGGCTAAACCTGCTCCAGTTCCCGATGCTTCTGCGGTAAATGGTGACAATCTTCCTGAAAGCAGTAACCTTCATGAGGAAGGTGTGTGTGCTCATGTTGATATCTATATTTTTATAGCAGTTCATTTCAGCAAGACATTTTTATATGTATTGCAAACAAGAATTTATTAAAACAAATAAATAGTGCTTTGGTTGTTCTTTTCAGTCGGTGTCATAATGACATGTTTACATTTTCATGGAAATGTAATGTTTTGCTAATACTAATTACAGCCGAAGGTCACTCCATATATGTACGGAACTTGCCATTTGATGCTACAGTTGAACAACTTGAGGAAGAGTTTAAGAAATTTGGGCCAATTAAGCGTGATGGTATTCAAGTTAGGAGTAATAAGGTCCTATCCTAGTTTAATGTCTTTCATTTTGTTCTAACCTGATTTTTGTTTATTATCATGTTAACATTTTCTTTCTTTCTCCTGCAGCAAGGCTTTTGTTTTGGATTTGTTGAATTTGAGCAATTAAGCTCTGTTCATGGTGCACTTGAGGTAATAAAGATTCCAGTGCACCTTAATCTTCTTATTGCAATTGTGAAGTTGCTTAATGTACAACTCATCTATCACATCTTTGTCTTCTGGGTCTCTTAATACATCTTGTCTATTTAGATTATATTATGGATGGATCATTTTATGATTATAATATTATTTGATGGTTCATTTTCTGATTGTGGTGTTATTGATGGAACTTCTTACTAGAGAGAGTGTATGATCTGTTTTTTCTGGTAAATAACTAAAATAGGATTGCACTGAATTAGGACTTATGTACCGTGGGCCTTTTGAGATTTTGTGCTGTATCATTTGGATTTGAGGGGTTTTTTCCCTGTAAATATTTGTTTCTACAAAAATTATATTAGGTTTGAATGAATGAATTCTATTCTGTACTGATATGGTTATATTTGTTCTCCTTCCTTGTTTCTTTGTTTTTCTTCTTGCTTCCAGTACGTCTTACCGGTGTGTTAGATGATCTTGTGCGCTCATATTCCATGTCCTCCATGTGATTTCTTTGTTTTTTCTTACCTTGTCCTTCTCATGTGTCTTCGGTCAATATTTACATGTTGCATACTTGCATTGGTTGCAAAGGTATTTTTTTAAACATGAATCCTTTCTCCACGTTTTCATTTTTCATCAACTAGTGATGTATTTTATACATGTTATTGATCCCAAAGCTTATTTTATTTATACGGAATGTTCAGCCTGTAAAAGAAGGGAATGTAAATTAAAGCATTGAAAAGAATTTGTCTTCTCGAGATGATTTGTTTTGGCTGTAGATGCTTTTTTTTTTTACGGTTTACCGAAGGATTCAAATTGATTCATGTAACTTGAATATGCATTTTCCGTGTTATATCTAAAAGTTGGACCTTCAATATAAGACCATAATTTGTGATATTTTCTACTTGTGTTTCCTTTTGTGTCATGTCCCTAGTCTAGGCCATAACACCATACCCACCTTTGTTTTGTACAGGTTCATGTTAGTAATTTAGTGCACCTCGACAGAATATTAATGGAAATGAAATAGAAATTTATATCATCTATCTTGGGTGGGATACTGCTAAATGTGATCCAGCTTATTTGTATTTATGATCTGGGCTTGTTATTCAAGCCTTGAAGAGAAAAATAGTCAACCTAGATTGTAACTGTCAAGATGCCTTCTTTGTTGTTTGTATCTTGTCACAAATCAGGTTAAAATTAGGCTCAGAAAGTGAGTGACCGACCGGTGTCGTGGTGTTGGGTTGATGACCTAATTGTTTTACCGACATCTTTTGCTTTTGGAAATTATTTGACCTTCACCAGACTAGTCAATTTTTTTTTTCATGTAATTTTTTTATTATTATAAGCATGAAATAATAGTTAAAAACCTTTTTATTCAACCAGGGGGTCATAGATTCCAACCTACTTCAAGTTGCTTGTCTATGATAATGAACATCGCATAGTTCTTTCTTACCCGCTTAATGTTGAAGGCTAGATAATGATTTTCGATTATTTTGTGAACCTAAGTGTTGCTACATTGAACAAGAGTTGACAATTTCAAACTCAGTAGACAGTGCATATCTACTTTTTTTTTTCTTAGTAAAAAATGATTCCTCTTGTTACTTTGGAATCATGCTCATTAAGTACGTGTCATTGGACAACTATATGTGTTAACATTTTGCTATTTCGTTTCTTTTAGGCTGAAGTATTGAGAATTCTAACGTTATGGATGTGGTTTAGATGAGCGCTAAAATTACTTCTTTAGGTTATTGTGAGCGTGAAATTAATTGTGTTTCTTTTACCTTCTTTAAAGCTCAACTGCTCAAGTAGTTGTGGTTCTTTCGTGTGTATCTCTTAATTTTTTCTTTTGTTAGCCATGGGAATGGTTATTCACTTTGTATTTGTGTTTTCACTTTTCGTTTTGACAATATGTTTGTGATTTCGTTTTGACACCAGGCTTCGCCAGTCACAATTGGTGATCGTCAAGCTGTTGTTGAGGAGAAGAGGACTACCACCCGAGGTGAGCTCGATTATGTTTGTGTTTTCACTTTTTGTTTTTTTTTTTTTTTTTTTTTTTTTCCTTTCTCCTTTGATTGATAGGTTAAGAAGGGCTATACATTTAAGCCATATGAAACTTAAGTAGAGGAACGTACGAATTCTTAGCCAGTTGCTGCCTGCAAGAGCTGATTATCATGTTAATCAATTGATTTATTCAGTTAGCGGAAGTGGAAGAGGAGGGAGGTTCCCTACAGGAAGAGGAGGTGGTTTCCGCAGTGACAGTTTCAGGGCAAGAGGGAACTACGGTGGTGGCAGAGGCTATGGAAGAAACGATTTCAGAAACCAGGGTGAGTTTGCTGGACGAGCTCGGGGTTCGACTGGACGCAATGGGGATGGTTATCAGCGGGCTAACCAAAACGGAGGCGGAAGGGGAGGAGGTCGTCAGGGTGGGGTAAACCGTAGCGCAGTTTCTGGTTGAACAGTTAAGGGAAGAGATACGTTGACAATTTTTTGACAGTAAAATTGAGAATTGAGATCTACCTTTTTTTTTTTTTTTTTTGGATTTTTTCTTAGGTTATTAATTGCGGTAGAAGAAACTGAAGGTACTCTTCAATTAGTCATTTACATTTATGTGAGAAGGTAGTTTTGATTTTTTTTTTTTACCCTTAGTGCTTCATAAAGCTGTACGACGTTAAAGCTCTTTGGTGCAACATCTTTTTGGTATGATTATTATTATTATTATTAGGCATTATTTTGCGGTACTATTTCTTTGCCCCTCCGATCTCCCGGGTATTTGTGGACTGGGTTGGGACCGAATTAATTGTTTGAATTGTAAAATTTTTAAACCAAAATGCTAATGAACTCAACTTAACACATTCAAATATTTTGGGTTGATAAGTTCTTGCCCCTGAACCTATTCTTTATGGTTTCACAACTCCATTACCTTCTTCTCCTTATTGTCATGGGTCCATTTGACATAACATTCTCAGCCGCTTAAGAGTCAAGAGCCTATAGGAACCAAGCTATCTCATCCTAGATATTTATACGCAATATCTTAGAGTAACTACTCGTAGTTCCTCTCTTGTTAGTGTACTCGTGCAAAAGAGCAAAAGCAAGAAAGATGGATTGCTATCCAAAATTGATAGGAATTCTCGAGGATTGCTTGCCTTCTAATAGAACAAATTGATAGGAATTCTCGAGGATTGCTTGCCTTCTAATTGATAGGAATTCTCGAGGATTGCTTGCCTTCTAATAGAACAAATTGATAGGAATTCTCGAGGATTGCTTGCCTTCTAATAGATGTTCTATCTTTCAAACATTCAATCTCATGCTAATAAGAAAAACGAGTGATTGCCACTGAGCTTTCATTTCATTTTTTGGATTGTTTTGAGGTTGGGCAGTACATTCATAGAATGTTCATTTATTTATAACCAACAGCCTAGAGACGTGTAAGGGTGGAGAAACCCTTGAGTTTTGTAATTGAAGTCCATCTTGAATTCTCAATGCCCCTTCCCAAGTTAAAAAACACAAACCAATATCTACTCAATTTCTTCCAAGTATACTAATACCAATAGTGAAGTTTGAACCATCTAGTCACCATAAATGTGAATTAAAAGCTTAGTATACGCAAAAGCATCCTTGAATTGATATGATATGATAAACAAAACATTCCCCCATTGTCACTAGACAAAAGAAAAACCCAAACGACTGTTAATTGGTGATTTAATTTACAATTTCTACCAAAGTCCTAAAGTAAACCCCCCCTACGAAGCTTTCATCTTTGCTATTTCTTCAAGCAAAAATCTGGACTCCGCAGCGAAGTCAACTGGAGCGACGGACCTGACAGTGATCCTTTGCCTCTTCTCATTGTTGTACTCATTCTGAGAGACACTAACTCGAAATAAATGTGGAACCCAAGTGGCTTCTTTGAGTTTCAGCTGATATGAAGCCTCCTCTCCAATCTGCAATTGAAAACATAAGAAAAGGTCAATCAAGCTTGCTTCGAGTTCTCAATGTCAAGTTCTTATATTATCTGATTCGTTACCTGTGATTTGAGCCCGTCAAGTTCTTCGGCAGTGCACCCAACAATCCTCTCCGCTTCCGCATTGAATGTGGAGAGCCAAGCCTCACAACTGGCATCAGAAACTCTTACGACCATTATGTACCTTAAGCTGCATTCTTCGTCGTTTTTCTGGCAGCTTTCGCACCAATATCCAGATCCAATGGCATCGGTCACCTTCTTGTTGCATGTCTTACAAGCCCGATACCACATTGTTTGATCAGGTTTAATAAAGCTGACATATGCTCTTATGCTGAAGAACATTGGCTGTAGAGATAATAACTCATGTTATTCTTGATAAATAGATGTTCTATAGGGATGGATGCTCCCTATAGAAGTTTCACTTTCTTGAATTCAAAGGTTGTATGTTACCTTTTCTTCTCCCAAAGATTTGTTTTGGAGTATATGAGACAGGGAGACCCGGTCAGTGTACATGGATCTCGACCCACTTTTGGATGAGGGGCTCATGCCAGAGCTGACAGAAGCCATGGATATGGCTTTTCCTTCAGAGTCGTACCTATACGCAGGTAATATAAAATGCATTACTATTATAGCAAATGATATTATGGCACGAACTCAACTTGTTCTCTGTAAACTTACCATGATCTCAATTGATGTGCTTCCTTTATGTCTGGATTTATTAAAATTGAGCTCCTACTTATAGTTGACAAAGATACACCTGCAGATAGAAGCAAGTAGGATGTTAGGAGAAAGTTTGCTTCAATTTTACCAAGATACTCTACTTATAGTTGACAAAGATAATCCCTTCAATTTTCGCAGTACCTTGAAAATCTCCGACTCTAAGATACTTCAATGCAATTATGGGAGATTGATCAACAATGTCAAGCAACTCCTGCCCCACGGTGGTAGCAAGATCATTCCACAAAGATACCACAACAGTCTTCTTTCTGCAATTTAATACTCATAACTTCAATATGAATGATGTAAACAAAAAACAATCTTCATCAATGAGAAAATCTACTCACGTCTCATCAGCAATAGTTACATCACGTTTTGGAGCTGTCTCATTGTTGATTTTCCTTCTAATGCTCATGGTAGGAGAAACACTTTGTACAACTCCAACAACATCTGGCAGTTCCAAAAACACGTTTAATTTTATAAGATGGGGAAAAAAAACATGCAAGGATAAGTTATTTAGGGTAGGATAGGATTCTTACCAACAAGATCTCTTCCATTCACGTGAGGACCTAACATATCAATCTTGACAAAATTGAACTTGGTTTCAGGGACGAAAGCAGCTTCGTTGGTGACCTCGTCTACTTGAGAATTCACATTTAATGTCATTTCATAATCATTTTGAACTGTCTTAAATTTTTTATTTGCAACTTTCAAAGTTCCCCTGGAAACGTAGTAAACTTTGCCAAGGGAAAACTTCTCATAGAACTTTCTTGCAGCTTCATTGAACATCGTTGCTTGTATTTGTGTCCCCTGAACAAGAAGAGACAAGTAACTTCATTTACATATCAACAAGAGACTATAAAATGTAATCGTTTCAGTAAAAGTGGTTATGATTTAACGGATTGGCAATTTACTTACATCTTCATCTGTCAACACCACATTGAAAACACAACCTTCTCCCTGAGCATTCTTGTATGTACGCAGATTTCCCTTGTCTGTAACACGAACTTTGATAGTCCAATCTCCCTGGTACGGATTTAAGTAGACAAGCGGATGAACCCGCCTTGTCATGGACATCCGTGCAGATGGTGCCATACTGTTCACGGAAAAGCAAAAACATGTAAACATGTATCAGTATTTGCATACAGTAACTGTGAACTCGATGACTAAGTCCAACAAATGGTCTCCTAAAAGAGAGAACACTCACTTTGTACTCTGCTCATGTACAATCTGGGCAGCTGATTTGGCAACCAATTCTTGCTTTGGTTTTAAAAGAATGCCAGATCCAGTATTAACCGCACTCTTATCGTCTAACTCTTGCTTGGGTTTCAAAACAATATCTGCTTCCTCTTTCTTAACCTCAAATTTTACCTCCTTCTCTAGAGCAGAAGACACCACCTCACATTTTGTCACGATTAGATACCTGATAATAAGAAAGGAATCACATTTGACAAACCATAACAAAACAAAGAATAATTACATATAAATTTAGGAAAGGCGCAACATGATTATTTCCCGAAATTTGAAAGATGAAACTCACTTTTCTGGCTTGTTCGGAATGTCATTGAGAGAATAATCAAGAACGCGAATAAGACCCAGATTTTGAATGTTTCCAGATATGACCTCTGATGTAAGGTTTGAAGGAAGAATGGATTTTAGCTTCATATCCCCATCGGCAGCAGTAAACCTGAAAGTGAAGTAATAGAAATTAAAGAAACGGTCCATATAAGCTTTAGATCTTCAATCACAAATATCAACACAAATCTCCCTAATCCTTAACGCGACGATTCAGTGAAAACACGAACTCCTAGCAGATAATCCAAAAATTATACACACGACACAGACACTTGGATCTAACACAGAGTTTCGACTTTCAAGCATGTCAACAACGATATCACCGAACTTAGGTCAGAATCAAAAGGGAATCTCAGACAGTTTGAGAGAGCATAAGTAAACAACACAATACTAATCAGAGTTAAAAGAAAGGTGAAAGAAAACTAACATGTAGCGATTTCCCGTCGCCTTGAGATCGAGGACCTGAAGCACAACCTGAGGGACATCGGAGGCGGAATCCGGGGATGGATTCGCCAAGATCTTGGAAATCCCGCCTGGGGTAGGTGCATTCGCCATTTCTCGACGATATGGGATAGGAAAAGCTAGGTCAGAAATTTGAGAGAGATTCAGCGAGAGGATGAACAAGAAGAAGAAGAAGAAGTGAAGAATGAGGTGAAGAAGAAGGGATTTGAGGGTTTTGTATTTGACGATTCAAGCGGGAAATTGGTTTTGGATCTTTGAAAAAAGAGAAAGATTGGTGTTTTCGCGGCAAATAAATTTTCCGGTTTCCTTTTTTCCCAAACACCTTCCAAATTTTTGGCGGGCTAATACGGTTTACGCGGCCGAGAATCCTAATTTACGAGTTTACCCTTCCGAGATTTCTGAAATTACCCTGCCTACCCTTTAGGTTTTGAAATGATTTGATGTGAAATTGCCGGTATTTTATTAAAGTAATTACAAATTAGTGTTTTTTCTTTTTTTAGTTAATCGCATTTGGATATATTGTCTCAAATGACAAATATTTTAGATATTATTTAATAAATATTCGTCCTTTTAAAACATTTATTATATATATATATTTCCATGTCAACTAACTAAATTAAATATTTTATTATTTTCATTTAAAATAAATTAAATATTTTATTATTTTCATTTAAAATAAATTAAATATTTTATTATTTTCATTTAAATAAATTAAATATTTTATTATTTTCATTTAAAATAAATTTAATATTTTATTATTTTCATTTAAAATATATATATAGATTTTTTTTTTCATGGCAAGTAACTAAATTAAATATTTGATTATTTTCATTTAATTTATATATATAAATAGGTTTTTTTCCATGTAAAGTAACTAAATTAAATATTTGATTATTTTCATTTAAAATATATATATAGGTTTTTTTTCATGCCAAGTAACTAAATTAAATATTTGATTATTTTCATTTATAATATATATAGGGGTTTTTTTTTTCATTTCAAGTAACTAAATTAAATATTTGATATTAAATTTGATTATTTTCATTAAAATATATATATATATATATATATATTTTTTTTTTTCTATAGCATCACAAAATAAGACCTACCAGTGATAAGCTTAATAAAATACGAATGATATTGCGATTGAAACTTATTTGGATGATAATTCTCGAGTAATCATTATAGTTGAGTAAGATGACCAACACAGAGAAACAAAACTGTCAAATAACAGTTGTATTTATAAAGTGGATCGAAAAGGGATTATCGACACGGCAATAAGAGAAGAAGCTATGATCTTGCTCTCGCTACATAGTTCCACCATGTACAAGCAAATCTAAAGCAGCAGCAGCAGCAGCAACAACAACGACTCCTCCCTTCGTTTCAAAACTCAACATCCAATTCGATCAAACTCGAAGCCATTCATTCAGCTATCAACGTCTGTTCATCAGCTTCCTTGAAACTCTTGACACTTCCCAGACCCACAAGGGGCAAAAGACAACCAACAACGAGCACCACTGGGTATCATATCATTCCAATCAAACGATACAACGGGTACCTCTCTCATGTTTCATCAAGGAGAAGTACAGACAAACGAGAAGCCACATTTGATTGAAGACAATCATTTCGAGCTTCTTTGAACCGTTTTTTCTTTCTTGCAATTTCATCAGCATCATCAGCATCAGCATTGAAGTTGTCAACATCAGACACAGATGATTTAGCACAAAGTTTGCGTCCAAACATGGCTTATCCACTTACCAAGAACCGAGAAACTTTGCCTACCAAAACAAAATTCGTGTTGTTAACAAAATTATCCCGATGCATTATCCTAGTAACTGCACAAGAAGAGGGGGGCAGTGGCAGTTTTGTTGAACCCGTACACTTCTCTCAACTACGGAATGAGCAGCAAGATAAGCAAGAAAGCCATCTCTTTGGAGGAGCCACATTTGAATCTGCTTTTGGAGATTCGTCTGAGCTCGATTCTTTGGGGATCTGTGGATTTGATGAAGCTGAATGTTGCAATTCATTATTCGTCTCGTTATTCGCCTTCTCCTTCTCGGGTTCTGCTCCCTTAAAAGAAATGCTTTTTGCTCCATCTCCTGACAATCTTAAATTTGGACAAACAAAACATTCATATATTTATTGATCTGCAACAGCTCTCAAGAATTTCAGTGCTAAGAGTGAAAAATTAATGAGCATTCTTCTAATACTTCATTCGGTTATCTCTGCATACTTTCTTAGCTCATCTTATCCACTCTTATCCATTTACAGCCTCAATTCTACCAGTTAGTCTCGAAGAAAAATGACAATGTTTTTCTTCAAAACAGAAAAACAAAAGATATATCAGTCGATAAGGATTTGAGAACGTAGTGGCTTACATGGGAAACTGGAAAGATTGTGTGCTGCTTTCTGACTGATGAGAAACGCTGGCTGACTGAGATGACGACTCTGTTAGAGTAGAACTTCCCATGCGGTTGGTTTCTGAATTTTCCCTTATAACCTCCCTCATTGTTTGTGCACATCGTGCTTCAGTGGCTGCCATATCACCATCTGGATGGGTGCCCTTCAACCCACAATCAGAATGTTTCATATTCAAAACCTGGGATACGCTCATGGCTAATTCACCAGACCTATATAGCTCGCCTGATTTTCCTATCCAACACAATTGTTCTCTGGTAAAACTCATGGTTCCCATCTGAATACTGAACAATGATTCATTTGAAGCACCACTCCATTCTGTAGGCGTTGTAGATTTAGTTCTAGAAAAGACATGAGATGGGATTCTATATCCAGGTGAATTAGGATTATCTACTCGCTCCATCACTTGAGTTTGAGGATATTGAGTTGTTTCCTCGCTGCCTGACCTGCTGTTCTTCACCACAGCCTTGATATCTTTGTCCTTTGCAGGCTTTGGGAATTCAATCACACCATCACGAAGGGGAGATCCATTGCCATTGATAAACGCAAAATCAGAATCCGGGTGTCCTGCAACATGCAACTCTTTTTTTTTCAAAGAGTCACTCGTCGTACCACCAACGTATAGGCCGGGCTCATTTACGATCAATTCAAAGGAGCTGTCGGAGGAGGAATTAGATGCCGAGGATAAGGTGGAGCTTAAACTTTTGCTAGGATGTGTATTTGATTCACCGGCCTCAATCTTTCGCCCAGATTCCATATGTTTTTAGGCACCACTCTTCAATTTTCGAATCAGATCAAGTCTGAAAATCACCGCCTGTCAAATGCAACAAGAACATGAAATGGGATAAACAAATCAAGACATCCAAACCCTTTATGATCCGATTATATCTGGTTCTAGGTTCTATCGCGCCGTGAGAGAGTATTGAATCAGAAATGGATTACTTCGCTAGCTCTCTTCTGTCAGCGAGCAATCAATCGCATTGTGTTTATCAGAGAAATGGAAGCTGGGGCGCCTACAAGTTTCTTCGGCCATCCGGATTTAATCCCCAGCCTATGTTCTATCCATGACGAACATAAGTTAAGCGATAACCCGAAATCGTTAGATTTCAATTCCTGAAAGTCAACCAGTACTTGTGAACTATTCATCGCCGCCGCGAACTAAACAATATCTCGCAACCTCGAAAAGAACAGCGCAGCTTTTGCCCCATTCCACGACCTCGTGAAACTCTGAAATACGGAGATCGCATTCCAAAATATAATCCATGCGCTTCATTTCAACAATCTCCCGTTCACTATTCCATCGCCTAACCCCTCATAACATCAGATCTCTCAAGATCCCAAGTATTCGTGATTTCTCGATTGCTCTTTTTCGTTCACTTCGCATGCGATTTCAAATCAAATATCTACACCCGCAAAAAAAGAAACGGAACAAATAACAACAAATCGTAACACAAAACACGACAGCATCAAAAGAATAACAGGAGAATCCAATATAAAGTCAGGAGTTGCAGGATAAATGATAACTTACGTCGAAAATATCCCAATCCCAAGTAGTAAAAGACGAAAAGCTCATAGAGACTTCCGGCCGGAGAGAAGAGGAGAAGAGGCCTCCGACGGCCGGGTACCGACAGTCCCGGATTGGGAATGTCGCAAAGGGATGGATTATCGAATGATCAAAAGAAAAGAAGGCCAAATTCAGAAAAGATTCCGATAGAATCGAACGAGGAAGAGAGAGAATGGTGAAACAGAGATGGAGGGAGGAAGAGAGAGAATTTAGGAAAGAGAGAGAGAGAGTAGAGCTTGAAAATGGAAAACGGAGTGGGAAGGAAGTTATGAGGCGTCGCATTGTTTCAGCCTTCTCTTTCTCTTTCTACCAACGAACTTTGCATTTTCTAATTTTTTTTTTAAATATTTTTTATTTTATTTAAAATTCCCTCCATTTTCGGAATCTTTTTATTTCATACCCCTTCTCACTATCGCTTATGAGATTATCGTACTTGCGATTATGCGGTACTCACTTTCCAACTACAAATGAGCTAAGTCAATTCGTTCTTGCGTCGCCTACGGCCAAGCGACGTATACTCAAGCCTTTAGCCTCGATTTTAAGATAAGGTTTTAGAAAACGAGGGCAGAGAGAGATTTTCGAAAGATAAATTTTTGAAAGAGACGTTAAATAAGCAAGCAATAGAGAAATAACAACGGATCACGATATATAATCTTGGGTAGGGAGAAGTTGACAACTAGTCTTATCCCCTATACTACATTCTTAGGTATTTCATGTCTGACAGGCTCATGATATTTACGAATCATCATACTTCATAAAAATACAAAAGTAAAACACTAAAATATGAAATGACGTAAAGTTGGGCTTGTGAGGGCCACACGGCATATATATATACATATGCATATATATATATATACATATGCATATATATATATATACATATGCATATATATATATATACACACATATATATGTATACATATATATATATACATATACATATATATATATATATGTGTGTATTTTTTTTTCGTTTTCCTCATTTTAACTCAATTAATTAGATAATTTTATTTATTTATTATTATTTTCAGTTTACTATCTTAAAATATAAAATATTAAGGTAGTATTATGTCTATTGTTTGACGTCTAAGCTTTTATCAGCTGATTGAATATTATGTCATGGTAACGAGCTGATCATTATGATCATTTAATATAATGTAATGTATTATGTTTATAACAATATTTCAATTAGGT